CAGAGGGGGAGGGGGCGGGGGGGCGGGGGGAGGCGTACTCATATTTTGCATGCCTTGGTGCGAACACGGGGGGGGGGTGCTCTTATGTTGTGCATGCCTTGGCGGTTAGACCATTGACGAAGCGTCCTCGAAAGGACGGAGCATTGTTCCCACAGGACCGATCACCAACGATGGCCGGTCGTTCCTTCCTACTTCGCCACACTTGGCTCAAACATGTTTTGCCTACCCGAAGGGGGGTAGGGGGTAGAGGTGAATCGCTCGCTCCCAAGACAGAGCGAGGTGGGCGAACAGGGGTCGCACCAACAACGAACACCGACAAAAACAGGGGAAAGGAATGGTGTGAAGCGATTATGTTGATATTTCTGGGTCGTTTCGCTGTCTGTTTACTTTTCCATAGTTTGCATGTACCCTCGTTGGGTAGATGGCCTTTGACTACGGCCACGTCCGCGTCAGATAGGCCTACGGATGTTAGAAGCTACTGAGCAGAGACTGGGACGGTTTACAGGATGACAACATCAACAACAACAGCAATCGCAACGGCAATGACAAGTGGCGTGCCGGAGGTGATCTCGCCAGTAGCAAGGATCGCAGGGAAGACAGGGAAGGACCATCGCACACTCGGCAACCTGCACAGGGTGATTGATGCCACGTGCCTTTACGTACGTAAAAGGTAGACGTAAAGGTGGTGGCGGAGTGTATGCATTGTTATCTTCATGGCCTGTTTTGTTTTTTCGCGGCGAGCGTTCTTCCATGCTAGGGCCCGACAAAAAATAAGGAGACCCAGTAGATAGCAAGCGAAGCACGAGGCGGAATAGGGGTGAGAGCCTACAAGGGGGGGTCAAGAACCAGACGCGGATTGCAAAAAAACGTTGTCCGCCGGAGAAACGAGGCAAAGAATCAATTCACAGCGACGCTCTTGTATCCAATTCGCCACGCGAACGAGTGAACGAGTAGTAGATACCTGGTGTCGGAACGTGAGCAACGCTCGCTGGAAGTCCGCTTCGTAGCCAGGGGGGAACGACTCGGCAGAGTCAAACTTGACCGCTCTCAAGATCTTCGGCAGCTGCCACGGGTAGAGGAGAGGAAACGGGGCGGCAGGGCCTCAGCAAACTTCCTCTCTTTCCACTCCTATCAATGCTGATGCTCACCAACGATACCACAGGGTAGGTTCGGCGGCTGATGTTGGTTGGAGGGGGGTTCCCTAGCAACAATTTGCCCACGGGGATGGGGGGGGCGAGACAACCAGTCGATGGCAGGGTTTGCTGCGATGGCACTCGCCTCTTTGTGACGAGACACCATCCGGTAGGCCTTCTTCAGCCCCATGCCGTGCACCGAAGGAAGATAGTCGCAGCCGGAGAGCGCGCAGAGCGTCATCAGGTCGTCCTCGTTCATGCCGCGCATGTCGAGCTCGTCATTCCTGCCGGAACATTCGACGAAGGCGAAAACTCAGTCGGCGCCAGCTCAGCAAGAAAGTTGAGGACATCAATGCGGCAAACGTTCTCGTTGCAGCACCCCAGCCAGCGCTCCGCACACGACCCGCACTCTGCATAGATCGCGCAGAAAGACGATGTACTTCTAGTAGACTAATCGCGACCAATCTTCCACACGATACCCCCCCCCCCCCC